GTGCGCGCCCCCGCCGCACCCGAGAGCCCGGACGAGAGGGACTGGGGCTGGGAAAGCGGGGACGAGTGGTGATGGGGAGGGGAGGGGAGGGGGGGCGAGGAGGTGCCTTGAGGGAGAGGGGCACGGCGGAGCGGGAGGGGGCGCCGGGCGGAGTTGTACGGAGGCCGGCCCGGGCCCTTGATCCTTCGTCAGTCGCTCGTGGGACGCGCGGGGGACCCCACCGGGGGCGTTGGGAGGGGGGGCGCGGGGCGGCGGGGACCCGCGGCGGCGCTCGGGCAGGCGGACTACTTGACGTGTCGGTGCGGCGAATTTATTTCACTTTGCCTAAGGAACGGGGTGTGCTGCGGCCCCCATTGCCTAGGGAAAAAACCCGGATGTAAAGTGAGTGAAACTAAACTAGAGTGAAGTAGGGCAGCGGCAGCCAAACTCCAGTGCAGCGGCGGCGGCGGCGATGGTGATGGGGCCGCGCGCCCAGCGGCCGCTACCAAACTCCGCCGGAGCCGCCGCAATCCCGAGCCCGAGCAGCGCTGCAGCTTCGGCTCCGGTGCAGCCGAGGCGAGGCCGGAGCCCGCTGCGTCCCTTCTTTCCCCCCTCCACCCCCTCCCCAACTCCGCGGCCCGAACCCAACTCCCCCCCCCCGCCCGCGGAGCTGCACCGGAGCTCCGGAGCGGCCCCAACTCCCTCCCGTGCAACAGCAGTTTGCAGGGGGGGGAGGGGGAAGGTGGGGGGGAGAAGAAAACAAGCGGCGAGGGGAAGCGAGGAGGAAGCACTGCAATGGGGGGGGGGAGCGTGGTCCAGGCAACAGGAGAAGGATGCAACCTCAAGTCGAATGCAACACGCCAGCCCCGGCCGCCGCTCGCCGGCGCCCTCCCCGCCTCTCCCCTCCCCTCGCCACCCCGCCCCCTTGCCAAATAACTACCCTCGAACCACTTTATTAGCTGTACTTAGTCCCACACTGGCTGCGGGGCGGGGCGGGGGGCCGGGGTCCTTCGCTCACCTTTATTTATCGCTGCTCCCCCCCCCACTCCATGTTGTGTGTTTTTTTTTAATATTCCTAAGTTCTTTTGTTCTAAGGGGGGATGATGGCATTTACTTTTCTGCTTTGTGTAGCAGGGCAATCACGGGGAATCGGCCACGTATAATCCGGCGGTTTGTCATATTTTATTAGTGAAAGTATTTTATGCTTGTTCTACCTCCTCCAAGGACTGTAACATGGAGAACTGCAGGGAGGAAGGAGAGGGGGGGAAACATCAGAAGAATTCTTGTTTTGAGAAATTTCTTGGCGGGGCGGGGGAGGGGGGCACTCTTCCCCTCCCCTGGGGGGGGGGAGTAATTGAGATTTTTTTTTTAATCGATAGTTTTCAACTTAAAGCATCACATGTTAGTACGGCTGTATTACTTGATTCTAAAATAGCCTCCAACCACCATAAAGAAGAAAAACTCCCAACATCTTAGATCTAAAAATAAATAAATAAATAAATCCCATCTGGACCGTGATAGGATCTGTGCTGGACGCTGGACTTCACACAGTGTTGGCCTTCGAATGTTAAATAACAATAAACCCCAGCCTCAACTGAATACAAATAGGGGGTGGTGGGGGTGGTTTTGTTTTTAAGGCTCAGCACTTTTGGAGCATCTGCCACTACGCATTTTCCAGGCATTGATTAGCCGTGCAACTCCCATAGGCATGAAGTCCAGTTCTCGTAGATAAAGAGCAACAGTGGTTAGATGATTTGCCCAAAGTCAAAGTGAGTCACTGGCAGAACCAGGAATAGCCTTGGACTTGATTTGCTACTAGTCACATCTTTTCCATTAAATAACATTTTCTCAAAGAAATGCTGTTTAAAGATAAACACACACTCTTTACCTTGTGTGTTCTTACCAGAGGTGCTTTGAGATCAGCCACTATGAAGGCGTGTTCTTCCTTCTGTGACCTGCAAAACTTAAGTTTAACTTCTCAAGAGGAAACAATTAGGGTAAATTTTGATTCCTTAAAATTAAAAAAATAAAAATAAAAACCTATATGGTTTAATGTGTAGGCCATTTAATAGAGTGAGCATTGTTTTGAAAATTCACAGTAGAGAAAGTATGTAAGAGTTTAAGAGTGAAAATGAAAATCCCTATAAATGATTGGAGAAGCATGGATGAACTCATCTTGTGAAACTAAACCCGTGGTGCAGTCAAGACCAATAAGGGAAGGACTAGTGGAAAGACCCAATTTTACCACCTCTATCCCCCCAACTCCACCCCACCCCCCCAGATCTCTGCTGTGTTT